CGGCCGCGCCGCCGCGGGGAGGCAGGCGGAGGACGGTTACCAACACATGTTACAGTGTCGCCTGTCCTTTGACCCACCCCCTTTGACTCAAATTTATGTCTGCAAGTTTCTCTCCGAATCCATCAGGGACGTGTGCAAAGGTGTTTGTGCTAAAATACAAACCACAGGATGTTCTGTAACAGAAAACCTCTTGAACATTGTGAGCCGAGTGGTGGTACCATGGAGACACGTGGGGAGCTTTCTGGTTGGGCCTGAAACGAGAAGTCACCTGCCTTTCTTTCTTTTTTTAAATGTATTTTTATTGATTTCAGAGTGTGAGAGAGGGAGAGATAGAGACATCAGCGATGAGAGAGAATCATCGATCGGCTGCCTCCTGCACGCCCCACACTGGGGAGTGAGCCTGCCACCCAGGCGTGTGCCCTTGACCGGGAATAAAATGATGACCTTCTGGATCATAGGCCGATGCTCAACCACTGAGCCACGCCAGCCGGGTCGCCTGCCTTTCTTACTTCTGCTCTGCAGACATGGACATGCTGGCCGCACCCCAGCGGCCGCCTTGGGCCACAGCGTGACCGTGAGGACAGGGTCCATGCCCTCCCTCGGCTGCTGACGCAGAAATAAAGCTGGGGCCTGGGCCTCGGGGGGCACCGTGCCGGCCCTGCACCCCCATCCTCGGGAGTTCCTTTAGGTGAAAGCGGCAGCCGATTTGCCCTGGAGCCACTACGGCCGGTGGGGTGGACTGGACTGGACTGGACAGCGAGGGGCAGTTCCCAGCTCGTGCAAGGCTCGACATCGCCTCAGCCAAGGCCGCTTCTAGCCCCGTCCTTACACAGCCCTGCACATCCCATGAGTCACAGCAGGGAAGGGAGAGGCCTGGGGGAGTGGCTCCCAGGCTCCGTGAGAACAGGGGTTCCCGTGGGGTGTGAGGAGCAGGGTCGGGTTCGGGCCCGGAGCCTGAGCGGCATCCCAGGCAGAGAAGGGCTGAGTCAGGACACAGGCCAAGCTCGTCAGACCGAAGGTGCGGAGGGGAGCAGATTGAAAGAATTACTTACTGATGGCCCCCACGGAGGCGCCACTATCACCAGTGAAATGAAGGCCTGGGAGGCACCTTTGCAGAGAGAACAGAGAGGGAGAGCCCTGTCCACGGACTCCCCCCGCCGGTGCGTTTCCCCAAGAACAACCTCACCTGTCGTCACTAGGCAACCGTCACGCACCTGCCACTGAGAGAGGAAGTCCCGGCGGCCTCTCACCCCGGGGAGTCACGCCTGTCAGCATTTCCCATCGGACGCCGAGGGGACGCGCCAGGCGGTGCCCACAGGCCACCACGCGCGTCACTGTCACGGGAAACGCGCGGTGACGGGAGGGGGGCTGCTCTTCCCACAGACACCGCTGCGTGGTCCCCGGCCCCGGGGCTGGTCCCCGGGAGGCAAGCCCATCCGTGTGGCACACACCCCCGGAGGCGGACAGACGGACGGCCTCAGCCTTTCCGATTGGATACACGGCCTACACCGTGACCTGGGGGCGCCAGGAGGGGCGCGGCCTGCAGCGTTTGATTAAAAAAGGAGTTCCAGCGTGAGTAAGAGGACGCTTCCCATCAAATCAACATCTGCGGCTGCTCTTGGAAAACCAGGAGACCTAAGAGTTCAGAACATGGGTCTCCAGCAGGGCGACACTGGCAGGTGTCTGCCACGGGCAGGTGTCTGC